TGGACAACCCTGGTCTTGTATAACATCCAAGGCTGACTACCCAGTACGGGTTTAACATTCTGTGGAATATAATAAATCTTATATTTCACCAAGTCACTTAATGAAGTATTCTTGATACTGTTTATTTACATAGCATTTTGGCTATTGTGAATTGAAAGGCTTCATTGTCATCGATATTTAAGTAATAATTTTATAACAAGTAACTGTAAAACAAAGTTTGAGATCACTTGCCGATAATTAACAATTTCTTAACTATGTACCTTGACAGTGTTTAAGTTGCAAGTCTGCAGTACTGACTTCAGCTATAAGCAGGGACCACTAACAATCACAACAATCACTCTTGGGAAACAATTTACTCAGAAATTAATTTGTGAGATTTGCATAAACTGGACTATTAACCAGTCTGTATAAACCGTACTATACTGACAAGTTACCAGTTTATATAAACTGTACTGTAGATAAGACACATATGCAACAGTTAGGTATTTTTATTTCGAAACGTTTCGCCTACACAGTAGGCTTCTTCAATCGAGTACAGAAAAGTTGATAGAAGCAGAAGAGACGTGAAGTCGATGTATAAATGGTATAAAATATTTGTCGGTATTTTATACCATTTTGATGTTCAAACTGTACTGTAATGGCCAGACACCAGTTTACTTTATAAACTTCTGTCAAATGTACAAAGATTTATCACAAATCAGAATAATGATCAGCAGAGAGAACCAACAGTCACAACAGGATACGAATCATCAGCTCGCTAGAATGACTCTGGCTGAAACTATTACCACTTGTTAACAGATCCAACTGAACCACAACATGGTGGTTACCTGACCATCTTGAGCATTATGTATTTAGCATTTCTTTTTTTATTATTTATAATAATTGAGCATTATGCTGTCACCAGATGGCTATGGTTGTGTGCTTACAGCTGGCAAAGAAAACTACAAGACTTGAACTTGATGAATAATTATATAATGTACTTGGCGCATGAAGCAATGTTCTTGGAGATATTGTTTGTTGCTCTGATAACAGTCAATGTTATGTGAACACCTGTGTGGTGAGTGATAACACCTGTGTGAGTGATAACACCCGTGTGGTGAGTGATAACACCCGTGGTGAGTGATAACACCTGTGTGGTGAGTGATAACACCTGTGTGAGTGAGAGATAACACCTGTGTGGTGAGTGATAACACCTGTGTGGTGAGTGATAACACCTGTGTGGTGAGTGATAACACCTGTGTGGTGAGTGATAACACCTGTGTGGTGAGAGATAACACCCGTGTGGTGAGTGATAACACCTGTGTGGTGAGTGATAACACCTGTGTGGTGAGTGATAACACTGTGGTGAGTGATAACACCTGTGGTGAGTGATAACACCTGTGGTGAGTGATAACACCTGTGTGGTGAGAGATAACACCTGTGTGGTGAGTGATAACACCTGTGTGGTGAGTGATAACACCTGTGTGGTGAGTGATAACACCTGTGGTGAGTGATAACACCTGTGGTGAGGGATAACACCTGTGTGGTGAGTGATAACACCTGTGTGGTGAGTGATAACACCTGTGTGGTGAGTGATAACACCTGTGGTGAGTGATAACACCTGTGGTGAGTGATAACACCTGTGTGGTGAGAGATAACACCTGTGTGGTGAGTGATAACACCTGTGTGGTGAGTGATAACACCTGTGTGGTGAGTGATAACACCTGTGTGGTGAGAGATAACACCTGTGTGGTGAGTGATAACACCTGTGGTGAGAGATAACACCCGTGGGGTGAGTGATAACACCTGTGGTGAGTGATAACACCCGTGTGGTGAGTGATAACACCTGTGTGGTGAGGGATAATACCTGTGTGGTGAGTGATAACACCTGTGTGGTGAGAGATAACACCTGTGGTGAGAGATAACACCCGTGTGGTGAGTGATAACACCTGTGTGGTGAGGGATAACACCTGTGTGGTGAGTGATAACACCTGTGTGGTGAGAGATAACACCTGTGGTGAGTGATAACACCTGTGTGGTGAGAGATAACACCTGTGAGTGATAACACCCGTGTGGTGAGTGATAACACCTGTGTGGTGAGTGATAACACCCGTGTGGTGAGAGATAACACCTGTGGTGAGAGATACCTGTGTGGTGAGTGATAACACCCGTGTGGTGAGTGATAGCACCTGTGTGGTGAGGGATAACACCTGTGTGGTGAGGGATAACACCTGTGTTGTGAGAGATAACACCTGTGTGGTGAGTGATAACACTATGGTGAGTGATAACACCTGTGTGGTGAGAGATAACACCTGTGTGGTGAGTGATAACACCTGTGTGGTGAGTGATAACACCTGTAGTGAGTGATAACACCTGTGTAGTGAGAGATAACATTTGTGTGGTGAGTGATAACACCTGTAGTGAGTGATAACACCTGTGTAGTGAGAGATAACATTTGTGTGGTGAGTGATAACACCTGTGTGGTGAGTGATAACACCTGTGTGGTGAGAGATAACACCTGTGTGGTGAGCGATAACATCTGTGTGGTGAGTGATAACACCTGTGTGGTGAGTGATAACACCTGTGTGGTGAGTGATAATACCTGTTTGGTGAGTGATAACACCTGTGTGGTGAGTGATGACACCTGTGTGGTTAGGGATAACACCTGTTTGGTGAGTGATAACACCTGTGTGGTGAGTGATAACACCTGTGTGGTGAGAGATAACACCTGTATGGTGAGTGATAACACCTGTGGTAAGTGATAACATCTGTGTGGTGAGTGATAACACCTGTGTGAGAGATAACACCTGTGTGGTGAGAGATAACATCTGTGTGGTGAGTGATAACACTGAGCTATAACACCTGTGTGGTGAGAGATAACACCTATGTGGTGAGTGATAACACCTGTGTGGTGAGTGATAACACCTGTGGTGAGTGATAACACCTGTGTGGTGAGAGATAACACCTATGTGGTGAGTGATAACACCTGTGTGGTGAGTGATAACCTGTGTGGTGAGTGACAACACCTGTGTGGTGAGTGATAATACCTGTTTGGTGAGTGATAACACCTGTGTGGTGAGTGATAATACCTGTGTGGTGAGTGATAACACCTGTGTGGTGAGTGATAATACCTATGTGGTGAGTGATAACACCTGTGTGGTGAGTGATAACACCTGTGTGGTGAGTGATAACACCTGTGGTGAGTGATAACACCTGTGTGGTGAGAGATAACACCTATGTGGTGAGTGATAACACCTGTGTGGTGAGTGATAACCTGTGTGGTGAGTGACAACACCTGTGTGATGAGTGATAACACCTGTGTGGTGAGTGATAATACCTGTTTGGTGAGTGATAACACCTGTGTGGTGAGTGATAATACCTGTGTGGTGAGTGATAACACCTGTGTGGTGAGTGATAATACCTGTTTGGTGAGTGATAACACCTGTGTGGTGAGTGATAACACCTATGTGAGTGATAACACCTGTGTGGTGAGTGATAACACCTGTGTGGTGAGTGAAAACACCTGTGTGGTGAGTGATAATACCTGTGTGGTGAGTGATAACACCTGTGTGGTGAGTGATAATACCTGTGTGGTGAGTGATAATACCTGTGTTGTGAGTGATAACACCTGTGTGGTGAGTGATAATACCTGCGTGGTGAGTGATAACACCTGTGTGGTGAGTGATAATACCTGTTTGGTGAGTGATAACACCTGTGTGGTGAGTGATAACACCTATGTGAGTGATAACACCTGTGTGGTGAGTGATAACACCTGTGTGGTGAGTGAAAACCTGTGGTGAGTGAAAACACCTGTGTGGTGAGTGATAACACCTGTGTTGTGAGTGATAACACCTGTGTGGTGAGTGATAACACCTGTGTGGTGAGTAATAGCACCTGTGTGGTGAGTGATAACATCTGTGTGGTGAGTGATAACACCTGTGTGGTGAGTGATAACATGTGTGGTGAGTGATAACACCTATGTGAGTGATAACACCTGTGTGGTGAGTGATAACACCTGTGTGGTGAGTGATAACACCTGTGTGGTGAGTGATAATACCTGTGTGGTGAGTGATAATACCTGTGTGGTGAGTGATAATACCTGTGTGGTGAGTGATAACACCTGTGTGGTGAGTGAAAACACCTGTGTGGTGAGTGATAACACCTGTGTGGTGAGTGATAACACCTGTGTGGTGAGTGATAATACCTGTGTGGTGAGTGATAACACCTGTGTGGTGAGTGATAACACCTGTGTGGTGAGTGATAACTCCTGTGTGGTGAGTGATAACACCTGTGTGGTGAGTGATAACACCTGTGTGGTGAGTGATAACTCCTGTGTGGTGAGTGATAACACCTGTGTGGTGAGTGATAACACCTGTGTGGTGAGTGATAACACCTGTGGTGAGTGATAACACCTGTGTGGTGAGTGATAACACCTGTGTGGTGAGTGATAACACCTGTGGTGAGTGATAACAGTTCTTGAAACTGTGGTAACTCATCCATTAATAATTGTTTTATATTCATATGCAGTATTAAATTTTAGTCTTGCACTGTCACCTACCTCCATTAACCCCACCTCCACTAACCCCCACTTACACGAGCCCCAACCTCCGCTAACCCCCACTTCCACTACCCCCACCTCCGCTAACCCCCACTTCCACTAACCCCACCTCCGCTAACCCCACTTCCACTAACCCCTACTTCCACTAGCCCCCACTTCCACTAACCCCCACCTCTGCTAACCCCCACCTCCACTAACCCCCACATCCACTAACCCCCACCTCCACTAACCCCCACCTCCACTAACCCCACCTCCACTAACCCCACCTCCACTAACCCCCACCTCCACTAACCCCCACCTCCACTAACCTCCACCTCCACTAACCCCACCTCCACTAACCCCCACCTACAGTGCTGTATGACTTTCGGGTGTATTGCTGAACTTGAATAAAATAATTTTCCACTGAGTTGTTGGTAACTATAGCCCATGTAATACACACTTTGCTAATATGTCTGTTTTAAAAGTAATGTACTGTTGTGTGTTGCAGGTGCAGGAGTGACGGCATCATGAGTGTGATAATAAGGCTGCAGAACTTGCCGTGGTCGGCTAATGCCCTCGACATCCGCGAGTTCTTCAAGGGTCTCTCTATACCCGAGGGTGGTGTACACATCGTTGGTGGAGAGCTTGGTGATGCCTTCATTGCCTTTAGGTATATCTTTACTAAACTTGTTGTAATTGTATGTGGCACAAACAATCTGTGTAAAGACAAAATGAGTGCTGCATGTATCATCATACTGAGACCCTCTTCACTAAAATGTGTGAGAGAGAGAGTAGCAACTTGCATAGAATGGCAGAAACTTTTTTTATTATTGTTATTATTATTTTTATTATCATTATTTTGAAATTTACACGGAAGCACTAAACCTATAGGGGGCATGTAGTACCCTGGAAATGAGAGTTATCGAGGTTTGTTACAATGAAGAGACTGGTAACTCAATTTCTTGCACTAAAGAGTCCTTCACCAGCATGAGGGCATTGAAGAGGTCTGAAATATACAATACCCATTGTAATTGCTAGTTTACTGTTTCTTGTGTGTTCTTTAGTGCCCCTGACTAGTGTATCGTGTCTCATGAAATCGTAATCAAACAATTGCAAGCAAATCAGGGAATGGGTGGAGGGTGATCCCATGGCAAGCGAGTCCTGAAACTTAGAGCCAGCTGGCCAGTGCATTAACCACTGGGCCAACTGGCTCTAATAAGATTCATCCAACTAGGCATATTTATTTATACACTGTAGAGAAGTTAGCACGAGCCATGCTGTGACCACAAATACAGGTTTATACAGATGACTCCCACATCAGCATGACTGTGGTGTGCTCTAACTCAAGTCCCCTCAGAGCCACAGAATGGACAGAGCTGGAACACATGACAAGTGAGTCCTAAAATGACAGCCTCGCTGGCGTGGGAGTCATCTGTAAAAAACTTTCATTTGTGGTCACAGTGGTGGTCCTTGCTAACTTCCCTATGGTGTATACCTAGTTGGATGAATCTTATTAGAGCCAGTTAGGCTAGTGGTTAACTCACTGGCCTGTGTCTTTTAGGACTCACTAGCCATGGGTTCAAGCCCCACTTGTGCCAGATGCGGATTTCATTTATTATATGCTCATTTGTACTTGTTCTCCTTGTTTGCAAACAGTGTTAATTAATATCTAATATGAAGCTATAGATACGAGTGATTGAGTATGTGTGCATGTGTTGTATAGTTATCATTAAAATGTAAGGAAAAATACAAACTTTATTGTCCCTCAACAGTACGGATGAAGATGCAAGACTGGCCATGCAGAAATCAGGCTCCAGCTTGAAGGGGATCCAAGTAACCTTGCTACTGTCATCACGAACGGAGATGCAAAAGGTTATTGAGGCTGCTCGTCAGCAGGCCATGGCACTGCAGGGGTACCTGGCACCCCCAGTTATCCCTACACAACCCCAGCAACCTTCAGCATCTCTAGCTCCCTCAGCACCCTCAGCATCTCAAGCACCCTCGGTTCCTGCGTTGCAGCAGACTTCAGCATCAGCCATACCACACCAACCCTTATCTGCACATGCACCATATCAAGGTCACACACACTCACATATTGAAGCTCAGCAACAAGTAACACCTCATATGTCTTCACATATTAACTCTCCCCCAACTCAGCCAAACTTACAACAAGCTCCTCCACCAATGTCAGTGCCTCCCTCCTCTCACCCTTCTTCTGGTCCCTCACAGACTCCATCTCATGCCTCCTCTCACATTCCAAACCAAGCTGCATCTCATGGTCCCCATAATTCTACTGCTGCTGCTAATGATATACAAGCTTCTCATTCTAATTCATCAGCAAATGTAACTGATAAAAAGGAAGATAAGAAATCAACTTCATCGTCTTCATCATCCAAAAGGGATAAAGGACGTGACAGTCGGAGACGTAGGTCTAAGTCACGCAGCAGGACACGTTCCAGGTCTCGTGATCGAGATCGCCGCAGACGTCACAGAACCAGGTCAAGATCTCGTAGCCGTGACCGAAGTGGCCGGAGTCGTAGACGCACAAGGAGTCGTGAACGAGATCGTGGCAGAGATAGGAACCGCGACCGTGATCGTGATAAGGAGCGTAGCCGCATTGGTCGTGACCGTGGTGATCGATTTAGCCAAGAAAACAATGATATTGTAGCTGTTTCACAGGAGTTGCCATCTAGCAAAGATATTACCAGTAGTGGTGCAGAAGGAATACCAGGCCTGGGCGACATTCCTAGTGCTAGTATGAGAGGACCTCTACCAAGTCTCTCAGAACCCATCAAAAATTCTCCTATCCAGACACCATCACCTGCCCCAATGCCAGCATACAGTTCAGCACATTCATTTAATCCCGTGCCATCTTACACTACAGCACCTCCATTTATCACTGGGCTACCTTTCAGTATGGGAAACATGAGTGTTCCTCCTCCATCCATACCCATGTTAAATACCTTCCATGAACCTATGGACACAGAGGCTCCAGATGATCATCCAATTATTGTAGAAGGTCCAGGAGATTATATGGATAATCAGTTGTCTAGAAAGCCTCCTATCCCAAGGAATGAAAATATGGGTGGTCTCCTTAGAGGCTCTGATGATAGTTCACAGAGACCTGAAAATAAAGGTCTGTTAGGCGATGGTCCTCCATTTGGAAGCTTTGGTAGAGGAATGGCTCCAAGAAATAATGAGAATTTTGGATTTGTTGGGCATCCAAGGAATCGCTCACTTCCTAATGAACCAGAAAATGAGTATAACATTGATCAGTTTGACTCGCAAGGCCGACCTGATATACCCCAAAGAGGCTGGGATTCTAAAGAAGGAAAAGATACAAGTAATAACAAGTCAAGAGAATTTAGAGATGAAAAGGATACCAGAGATAGAAGCAGTTTCAGGAATGAAATGGATCCAAGAGAAGGAAGAAATAATAGAGAGGAAAGGCTTCCAAAGGATGTCAAAGAAAGCCATGAAGAGAAAGGTTCTCATGATGATCCAGAAAGGCTTGGGGGCTGGGAGTCTCGTGGTAAACGAGAGCCTCATGGTGAACGTGGGACCCGCTGGGATGCTGCAGACAGACGTGATGATACAGATGAATCATCAAACTGGAGTAGTCGTGGTAAACGTGAAGGCTGGAATGGTCGGGAAGAAGACAAATGGACAGGTAGAAACAGTGGAGATAAGCGAGAAAACTGGAATGAAAAAGAAAGCTGGAAGCATGATCCTCATGGCTGGGAAGAAGAAGCTTATTATCATATGGATCAAGACAGACAAGGTGAGGAACATGACCGCTTTAGTGAAGCATACAGTTATCGAGGTCATCGAAGTAGAGGATTGCGTGGCATGGAAAGAGGGCGAATTAGTCGAGGTGGACGAGGTTTTAATCCACGCTTTGGTGCATATCATGAAGGGTACCAAGATGAAAATCTTGATGATGGTTTTGGTTTTCGTGGAGGATATAGAGGACGTGGAGGTTTTCGTGGTAGGGGTGGTCCCTATAGCTATAGGGAAGGTAGCTCAGAATGGGGAGATGACAATACTACGTGTAGTGTAGAAATCCGCAATATACCTACAAACACTTCATATCGAGCTATACGTGAACTTTTCCGTGGTATTTATGTTCCTAAAACAAGTATTAAACTTCTAGCTGACGATCAAGGGAATAGAATAGATGTTGCACTACTACAGTTTTCCTTACCTCGGGATGCTCACAAAGCTGTTAGATACTCTGGCAATTATATATTTGATAATAAAGTAGAGGTTAACTTAATTCCTGAGGCCAAATATGAAGCTGCAGTAGATATTAACAAAATGACAAATAATAAATCACAGAGTAATAAACCTCCAAGTTTACCTGAAGACAAACTCTCCTGGGCAAACAGTGCTTGTGTGTGTGTGTCTGGCCTCCCAGTAGGATGCACTGATCATGATGTTGCTCAGATGTTCACTCAATTCAAAATTGAAGACATTGTCCTGGAAAGAGAGAAGGGAACTCGTCAGCCATCTGGGCGTTGCTTCGTGCGTCTAACCTCCACAGAAGATGCTCAACAAGCTGTTAATAACCTACTCAATGCTTCTATTGATGGAAGCCCCCTCACTGTAGAAATATGTCCACCTGAGGCTATGGTACCTGCTGTTAGGGACAGAGATTTGATTCTAAGTAGCAGTCAAGTAGTTAAACCTCAGCAGGATCAAAAGATGAATTCTAAGCCACAGACAAATGTGGAAAATAAAACTGAAAAACAAAATGGTGAGGGATCACAAAGCAAGAACCCAGCAGTGGGTGCTGACTTACTTACAGACTCTGTGTCCATGAAAGGAGTACCAAAAGATGCAACGGAAATAAATATTCGAGATTTTTTCAGTGATGAGGGGCTGGTGCCAGAACGAGTACATTTTTGTGATCCAGACACTAATGGAATGCGTGAAGTATATGTTATGTTTCCTCTGATTGAAGATGCCCGGCGTGCTGTGGGAAAGACTAAGCAACAGCTTTGTAAAGTTAAGGTCGAGGTGGAAATGATAGCAAAACCTCTTGTTATGATTGCAATGGGTCTCCCATTTGATCCTCTCGAACTCATAAGGAAAGGACAAAAGGTTGGTGCCCCTGCAGTTGGAGGAAAATCAGAAAAGAATACAGAAAATGTTAATACTGAGGAAAAAGTACCTACACAGTCAAAGGAAACAAGTGAATCTGCATCAAAAGAAAAACATCAACAGCAGCAGCAGAAACAGCAACAACAGCAGCAACAGCAAGGTAACCAAAATGAATCAGCATCTGATTCTGAATCGAATAGAGATCAAGTGAAAGAATCTCCGCATAATATGGAGCAGCAGAGTTCGAGTTCTTTCTCTAATCCTGGAGGAATGATTCAGGGCCTCTATAGAGGTGGACTGATGGGGCATTTTCCTGGTGGATCACGAGGATACCGTCCCCGAGGAGAAATGAGAGGCATGAGCAGGATGCCTGGTGGCTTACCCGGCCCTCGAGGACCAAGTGATGGATCTTTCAGCAGAATACGAGGACCCCTCTCACTATTAAGAGATAGCTTAGATAAACCTATTGGTGAAGAAGCCATGGGAACAGCTATTCCACCAGAGAATTTTGGTAAACCAGGCTGTGTCGTTGCATTAAAGAATGTTCCATATCGTGCTACAACCGATGATATCCTTGGATTTTTCCAAGAGTTTGCAACTCTCCGACCAGAAAATATTATTAGACGGTATAATGAGTTTAACCAACCCACAGCTGATGCACGTGTTGCATTCCCTACTCCCCAGGAAGCTCAGCGGGCTGTACAGACACTCAACAAAAAATACATGACCAACAGACAAGTGTTCCTCTCTCTTGTACAGGAGTAAAACCTAGTTTACTTCAGCTTATATGTCACTTCCATGTAGAGTCATAAAATCTTTGTTGATGATATTAAATAAACCTTGTTTTATTAAATGGGTCTAGTTTACAGTAATTATTAATACTGTATTGTACATGGATGTTAAAATTTCACGGATTTTTTCACTTTATTTTATATCGTGTGAAGGAGTTTTTATATATATTAGATTGTAATGCACATCGCAGTACCTGTGAATTAAGTATACAAACAGTTTAGTTTTACAAATGAAGTTAACTTAGGATATAAAGATCCTTATGTACATAGTATGTTTAAGTTCTTCCTGAGGTACTCAGGAACTGACTTAGATAATAGTCTGTTAGTATTACTTGATTATTTTGTATATAAAGTAAAATAAAGTACTTTCTTAAGATTTTATTTTGTTTTAATTTTCCTTTACTCATTAAAAAAATCAATTTGGTATTTGTTGAGAATAGCTATTCCTGTCCCCTAAGCATTCTATGACTTACAGGTTTAGTGCCTCTATGAATATTATACTTGTTGTGGAAACTAAAGTGCTTCTAGTAGCAGATAGCTGACTGCTGCTTGTGATGGGAGACAAGCTGTATATACAATGAGAGATATATGTTACTGTATCAATGTACAGACACTGACAGTTTACTTTAACCCCAGTTTTAATAAAGTTCCCTCAAGTCTGGTAAAGGACTCTTGATAAAAAGAATCTGGCTAACCCTCCCCTTTATTGGATTGAACCTGATTGTCTCCCATTTTTCCAGTGTTGTATGACCCCTGTCAGTTTATTTCTGTGAATATAACATTAGTGAATGAAGCATTTTTGATAGTGTACAGGTAAATTGGGGCCTTACAGTGTAAGGTTAAGAATGACAGCTTGTATACAAGCCTGTTGCTGTTCTTGATGTCATTTGTTAATGCTGTCACCAGAATTATGGAGACATAAGGAATATTGAGTAGAGTTTAAATGATTTTGTGTTATATATATATATATATATATAATATATATATATATATATATATATATATATATATATATATATATATATATACAGTGGACCCCCGGTTAACGATTTTAATCCGTGCAAGAGGGCTCATCGTTATGCGAAAATAATCGTTATGCGAATGAATTTTCCCCATAAGAAATAATGGAAATAAAATTAATCCGTGCAAGACGCCCAAAAGTATGAAAAAAAATTTTTTTTACCACATGAAATGTTAATTTTAATACACACAAACTGAAAAAGGCATGCACAATTAAATGACACTTACTTTTATTGAAGATCTGGTGATGATTGATGGGATGGGAGGAGGGGAGAGAGTGTGTTAGTGTATAGAAGGGGAATCCCCTTCCATTAGGACTTGAGGTAGTAAGTCCTTTTCAGGGGTTACTTCCCTTCTTCTTTTAATGCCACTAGGGCCAGCTTCAGAGTCACTGGACTTCTTTCGCACAAGATATCTGTCCATAGTGGCCTGTACCTCTCGTTCCTTTATGACTTGCCTAAAGTGTTTCACAACATTGTCAGTGTAATAATCACCAGCACGGCTTGCAATAGCTGTGTGAGGGTGATTTTCATCCATGAAGGTTTGCACTTCAAGCCACTTTGCACAGATTTCCTTAATCTTTGAAGTAGGCAACTTCTTCAATTTCTCTCTCCCCTCCTCCGAAGCAATTTCCTCAGGTGTGGCCTCTTGCTGTTGAAGTTGATCTAGCAGCTCATCAGTGGTTAGTTCTTCATTGTCCCTCCCTCCACCACTCTTCCACATCCTCCCCACTAACCTCCAACCCCAAGGACTTTCCCAATGCCACAATGGATTCCTCAACTGGCACAGGATTCTCAGGGTTAGCCTCAAACCCTTCAAATCCCTTTTGTCTACACATTCTGGCCACAGTTTCTTCCAAGCAGAGTTCAAGGTCTCTTTGTCACTTCCTCCCAAGCCTTACCTATAAGGTTTTACACAAATTGAGGATATTAAAGTGATCTCTCCAAAACCTCTTAGAGTCAGTTGAGTTTCTGAGGTCATTACAAAGCACCTTTCAAACAGAGCTTTTGTGTACAGTTCTTGAAGTTGGAAATAACCTGCTGGTCCATGGGCTGCAGGAGAGGAGTGGTATTAGGAGGCAAAAACTTCACCTTAATGAAGCTCATGTCCCCATAAAGTCGCTCTGCCACGTCTGTAGGATGACCAGGGGCATTGTCTAACACCAGGAGGCACTTAAGTTCTAATTTCTTTTCAGTTAGGTAATTTTTCACATTGGGGGCAAATGCATGGTGCAACCAGTTATAGAAAAATTCCCTAGTGACCCATGCCTTACTGTTTGCCCTCCACAGCACACACAAATTATCCTTGAGGACATTCTTTTGCCTGAACGCTCTGGGAGTTTCAGAGTGATACACTAATAAAGGCTTCACTTTGCAATCACCAGTAGCATTGGCACACATCAACAAAGTAAGCCTGTCTTTCATAGGCTTATGTCCTGGGAGTGCCTTTTCCTCCTGAGTAATGTAGGTCCTGCTTGGCATTTTCTTCCAGAACAGGCCTGTTTCATCACAATTAAACACTTGTTCAGGTTTCAGTCCTTCAGTTTCTATGTACTCCTTGAATTCCTGCACATATTTTTCAGCCGCTTTGTGGTCCGAACTGGCAGCGTCACCATGCCTTTCACACTATGGATGCCACTACGCTTCTTAAATCTCTCAAACCAACCTTTGCTGGCCTAAATTCACTCACATCATCACTAGTTGCAGGCATTTTTTAATTAATCCTCATGCAACTTCCTAGCCTTTTCACATATATCGCTTGAGAGACGCTATCTCCTGCTATCTGTTTTTCATTTATCCACACCAATAAGAGTCTCTCAACATCTTCCATCAATTGCGATCTTTGTTTCGAAACACAGTTGAACCTTTGGCAAGAACATCTTCCTTGATTGTCTTTCTGGTGCCCACAATAGTAGCGATGGTTGATTGGGGTTTCTTGTACAGCTTGACTAGGTCGGCTATACGCACTCCACTTTCATACTTATCAATTATCTCTTTCTTCATCTCTATAGTAATTCTTACCCTTTGAGGTGTAGGTTGGCACTAGAAGCTTTCTTGGGGCCCATGGTCACTTATTTTCCAGAAACAGCACCGAAAATACTGTAATAATACGAAATATTCCGAGTGTATGCTTGGATGTTACCGCGGAGGCTGGCTGGTAAACAATGGGACGGAGCGGCACATGTGAGGCTGGCTGAGGGCACATTGGACGCGTCTCGGACGAAAATCGGTATGCGGGTTTTAATCGGTATGCGCGGCAAAAATTTTGCGATAAAAGTAATCGTTATGCGGAAAAATCGCTATGCGATGCCATCGTTATGCGGGGGTCCACTGTATATATTTTTTTTTTTTTTTTTTTTTCAACAAGTTGGCCGTCTCCCACCGAGGCAGGGTGACCCAAAAAAAGAAAGAAAATCCCCAAAAAGAAAATACTTTCATCATCATTCAACACTTTCACCACACTTGCACATTATCACTGTTTTTGCAGAGGTGCTCAGAATACAACAGTCTAGAAGCATACACATATAAAGATACACAACATATCCCTCCAAACTGCCAATATCCCAAACCTCTCCTTTAAAGTGCAGGCATTGTACTTCCCATTTCCAGACTCAAGTCCGACTATATGAAAATAACGGTTTCCCCTGAATCCCTTCACTAAATATTACCCTGCTCACACTCCAACAGATCGTCAGGTCCCAAGTACCATTCGTCTCCATTCACTCCTATCTAACACGCTCACGCACGCTTGCTGGAAGTATATATATATATATATATATATATATATATATATATATATATATATATATATATATATATTTCCCAGTAAAAGTAGGCCTTAGACAAGGATGTGTGATATCACCGTGGTTGTTTAATATATTTATAGATGGGGTTGTAAGAGAAGTAAATGCGAGGGTCTTGGCAAGAGGCATGGAGTTAAAAGATAAAGAATCACATATAAAGTGGGAGTTGTCACAGTTGCTCTTTGCTGATGACACTGTGCTCTTGGGAGATTCTGAAGAGAAGTTGCAGAGATTGGTGGATAAATTTGGTAGGGTGTGCAAAAGATGAAAATTAAAAGTGAATACAGGAAAGAGTAAGGTTATGAGGATAAAAAGATTAGGTGATGAAAGATTGGATATTAGATTGGAGGGAGAGAGTATGGAGGAGGTGAATGTATTCAGATATTTGGGAGTGGACGTGTCAGCGGATGGGTCTATGAAAGATGAGGTGAATCATAGAATTGATGAGGGGAAAAGGGTGAGTGGTGCACTTAGGAGTATGTGGAGACAAAGAACTCTGTCCTTGGAGGCAAAGAGGGGAATGTATGAGTGTATAGTTTTACCAACACTCTTATATGGGTGTGAAGCATGGGTGATGAATGTTGCAGTGAGGACAAGGCTGGAGGCAGTGGAGATATCATGTCTGAGGGCAATGTGTGGAGTGAATATAATGCAGAGAATTCGTAGTTTGGAAGTTAGGAGGAGGTGCGGGATTACCAAAACTGTTGTCCAGAGGGCTGAGGAAGGGTTGTTGAGGTGGTTCAGACATGTAGAGAATGGAGCGAAACAGAGTGACTTCAAGAGTGTATCAGTCTGTAGTGGAAGGAAGGCGGGGTAGGGGTCGGCCTAGGAAAGGTTGGAGGGAGGGGGTAAAGGAGGTTTTGTGTGCGAGGGGCTTGGACTTCCAGCAGGCATGCGTGAGCGTGTTTGATAGTGAATGGAGACAAATGGTTTTTAATACTTGACGTGCTGTTGGAGTGTGAGCAAAGTAACATTTATGAAGGGGTTCAGGGAAACCGGCAGGCCGAACTTGAGTCCTGGAGATGGGAAGTACAGTGCCTGCACTCTGAAGGAGGGGTGTTAATGTTGCAGTTTAAAAACTGTAGTGTAAAGCACCCTTCTGGCAAGACAGTGATGGAGTGAATGATGGTGAAAGTTTTTCTTTTTCGGGCCACCCTGCCTTGGTGGGAATCGGCCAGTTTACCTGGAGTTTACCTGGAGAGAGTTTCGGGGGTCAACGCCCCCGCGGCCCGGTCTGTGACCAGGCCTCCTGGTGGATCAGCGCCTGATCAACCAGGCTGTTGCTGCTGGCTGCACGCAAACCAACGTACGAGCCACAGCCCGGCTGATCAGGAACTGTCTTTAGGTGCTTGTCCAGTGCCAGCTTGAAGACTGCCAGGGGTCTGTTGGTAATCCCCCTTATGTGTGCTGGGAGGCAGTTGAACAGTCTCGGGCCCCTGACACTTATTGTATGGTCTCTTAACGTGCTAGTGACACCCCTGCTTTTCATTGGGGGGATGGTGCATCGTCTGCCAAGTCTTTTGCTTTCGTAGTGAGTGATTTTCGTGTGCAAGTTT